ATATATATATATTTGTATATATATGCTTTATGATTTAAAAATTTTCAATTTCATTCTAATATCTGGCATAGGCTTTGTATTTGGGATCCAGATTTACATCATTTGGATTCAGAATACTCTTCTCTTCTGGGTAACAATTACCACTCTCTTTGTGCATATGTTTTGTTTTGATTTGATTTTCATGTGTGTGTATATATATATTGCAGTCTTCAATTCGATTTCAGTGTTGATTAGCTTCATTTAGGTATTCTTTCTGCGATTTCCCAATTGGGTTTTGATTCTTAATGATTTGTTTTACAAGTATGTTTATTGGGTAATTGCTAATTTAAGCTCCAGCCTCATAATATGAAGTGAATTTCGGATTAGTTTACATTATGTGTATTAATATGAAGTTCTGCTAGCTATTAACAATTCTTGAAACTTCGTAGATCTTTTGTTTTTTTTTTTTTTTGCTTTTTTTTCCATCAAATAAATGGAACTTTTGATAATCACAGTTAATTTTAAGATTTTGTAGCCTGGAAACTCGAATCATTTTGACTCTATTATGTTTACTGGTAATCATCTCAGAAGTATTTGTCAATGCTTAGTGGATTTTATATATTGTACTATATCAGTATAAGTATGTGTGTTTAATGAACCTAAATCATGAATTTTGTGTCCTTAAGGGCAGTATGAAGGCTTATCTTTAATCCAATAAAGGGTTATTATTTGTCTTTGATATAAACAAAAAAGACCACTAAATTTCATCCTGTTCAAGTTCTCTCTCATCTTGAGGAATTGAATAACTAGATGCTTGGGTTAAAGCTAGATGGTATGTATTGCCTTTATAGTAGTAGTGGCCTTCACTTGGTAAATTTGTTAAAGCATGGGCTACTTTAAATGAGAAGTTGATTTTATTTCTGAAGACAGCCACTTCATGTAACGATGCAGGGTTCTGGCTTTGAATAAGAAATTGAGGTGCTGGTCTCAGATGAAATTGAATTAAAAGGTGTATGATTCATTCCTTATTTGTATCCTCTACTTTGATTTGACATATTGATAAGTATTATTGGAAGTCCCTCAACAATTAACATGGCGGGGACAGGCATTCACACCGGATCAAGATATAGTAATTTGCAATGTACTTTTTTTTTTTTTAGGTTATACTTATGTATTTATTTTTATGGATTTTAGTGAATTGTAGTATTGAAATGCCAAACATGGATTTTATGAAAATGGTAGTTGGGAATGGTAGTTAAAAAATGGTAGTTGAAAATGGTAGTTGGGAATGGTAATTGAAATAGAATGGTTATTGTGTTAAAAAATAGCATTGGATGAAATACATCATTGGAGCAGAATTACTAAAATATAGCATTTTGACACTATAGCTCCTCTCAAAATATAGATTTGACATGCGAAAATAGTTTTTAGCATTGGAGATGCTCTTACGAATATAACCCTGTAAACTAAATTTTAAAGGACCAAAATACCCTTCATTTTACATTCTATCTCTAACCTACCATACCCTCTGTGTCTCTTACATACATCGATACCTATAACATATACCTTCTTTGTCTCTATCTCTATCCTCTCATACCCTCTATGTCTCTATCTCTATCCCTTACATACCCTCTTTGTCCTAACACCACCACCACCATTGTCGTCTCTTCATGTGAAACCCACTATACCATCGTCGTTGCCATCAATAATTAGAAGCAACCACCACCACTACCATCGATTAAAAGCGACGAGATCAGAGGCAAAAGCCACCATCGCTCGTGAATTAGAGAAACCCACCACCACCGTCACCACCAATAATTAGAACCACCACCCTCGTGAATTAGAGGCAAAATCCCTCTGCGAATTAAAGGCATGATCGACGATTGTAGTGGCAAACAAAGATTTGCTCGGTTATGCCGACAGTTTCGAAAATTGCAGCGGTGAACACAAATCTTCTCTTTGTCGCTGGTAATTTCACGTGGGTAGGGTTAAGATTGGGCTCTGTGGTCCAACAACTTGCTCGGGCAGTGTATCTGTGTGTAGGTATAGCAGTGGTTATGGTGGGGTGTATAGGTTTGACCTAAATGCAGTGTGTGTGTGTGTGGTGACGGGTGATATGGTTGTGGCTTACAGTGGTTGAGGTGTGCGGTGGTTGTGGCGGTGGGTGTGTTGTGTTTGATGTGGCGGTCTGTGGCGGTTGCAACAGTGTATAGGTGAGAGGGGAATACATAATATTGATTAGGGTTATTTTTGTCAATTAACAAGTTTAGGGGTAAATATGACTTTTGAAACCTCAGGGGATGTTAGTGCAAATTAGTGCGTTGACCTTCCTCCGCTAAGTAACATTGATCCAAGCCTCAAGGGGTGTGAGTGTAATTTATTTAATTTTTTTTTTTTTTTTCAAAAGGAGTGAAACCCATTTTTCAGGGTTAACCTAAGATAGATAGATAGATATATATATATATATATATATATATATATATATATATATTTATATAGAGAGAGAGAGAGAGAGAGAGAGAATTACAGATCGAAGAATCTTTAATTCCAAAATCCTAATTACGGTCACTCTCCACCTGCCACAAGAACACCACCATCCTCTCTTACAAAACTTGAATTGAAATAGGTTTGACTTATTAGAACATCACGAAAAAAGGAATAAGAATTATAAATCAGTCTGGTCTTTTTTTTTTTTCACCACTACTGCGTCAGAACTAATGCTATGTTTGGTTGGAGGGATGGATTGGGGAGGGATGGATGGGAGGAGGGATGGATGAATGTTTTCATGTTTGGTTGGAGGGAAGGGAAGAGAGGGAGGAAACACCTTGCTATACATTTTCTTATTCGCCCAAATTTGGGGGAAGAGTGGAAAGAAAAAAGATTACTATCAAAATTTGTTATAATTTTCATTTTTATCGTTCTTAAAAATTTGTTAAAACCCTGTTGCGTTAAACAACTATAGCGATTATTAAATAAATTTAAATTAATTAATTGTTTGGTATGTAAAAAAAAATTAATTAAATAATTGCTTTTTTTGTTTGATATGTAAGTATAAAACATTCATTTTAGACAACTTGCTTGTTAGTAGAGCTCAACATTATTAAATAATTTTAAATTAATTAATTTTATAACTTTATATAGTAAGGGTATATTAGTAAAAAATATATAAAAACTATCATTTCTTTCCTTCTAACCAAACAAAAAAAACTAACACTTCATCAATCTTTTCTGTCGTCCCTTCCATTCAACCAAACAAAAAATGAAGGAGACACTTTCCCTTCCTTAAGGATGACTCATCCATCCTTCCTCCTTTTCCTTCCATCTAATTTTTCATCCTTCCAACCAAACGGAGCATAAAGGGTTGTGGCTGAAGCAGTGAAGGGTATGAAATCTTTATTAGTCTTTGTTTGGAGCCAAATATGATACTGTAGAGAGGTGGTTTTAACGAGGGAGAAAGGGGACAAACGATGATAAGATTTTGAGCATTAAAGTTTTGATTTAGTATGATGTAAATGAGTAATTTTGATTTAGTATGATGATAAGATTTTGAACATTAAAGTATGATTTTGAACATTAAACAAATGAGTAATTTTGTATATGTAATATGAACTTTATACACATTAACCCATTAGAAATGGGTCTGATTTTTTAAACTTAGGATTCCAAGTTGATCAACTCTTGGAATTATTTGCACCCAATTGATTCAATTTGAATCTTAGATTCAATACTTCTTGAGACAGGACCAAGCTCTATTCGGACCCTACCTCATTTAATCTTGTGCCTACAAGGACGAGTTTGGGGTTCATTTTAATAGAAATTAGATGCTATTTGAAAAGAAAATTTAAACACTCCCAAAGACGATACAATTAATTAATATATCTTATGATAAATTGTAATTTTAACAATATTTTTATTATTATGATAGTTCATATTTTGATTATTTGAATTGTTTTTCTTAAAAACTACGTACTCCGTATATTAAACCCGTCTTGAACTTGAAATAATTTTCTTAAAAATTCATTGATGAGAAGGGTTTGAAAAATTAGTGTCAGTTGCCCTTAGTTGGAATATTTTCAGAGCACCTAAAACAGATCGAGGCGCAGTGAGGAACGAATCGCTCAATTTGCAGAGAAACAGAGGAACGAATCGTTGGAAATCGCAGGTACTCTCACTCCCATTCACGCTCAAGTTCTTCTCCTTCGAAATTTCATAATCCAGCGAATAAGTTCTGATTCCAAAATCTGAACCACCCAACAAAGAGGGCTGTTTGGCAAAACATATTATTTGCTTTTACTGTTATTTGGCCTAATCATGATTCCTTTTCATGTTGTTGAGCTTATCCGCGGATGTGATTTTGCCGAATTGAAGTATGTTGAGATTAAAAGGCCCCGTGGCATTTTTATTTTTATTTTTTAAAGCATTCAAAGACATTTTGTTTGTTCTCGTTGAATATGTTATAATTAGGAGTTAGTAAATGATGTCAAATTTGAACAATACTTTATGGTTTATGATAATCTATTATTCTTCACTGAAATGTCTATAGTGATGATTTTTGGGTAAACCATAAACTCAATAAAGAGAAGATGTGCAAAAGTTTAATCGTGTTGTTAATGTCATGCCATAACTGAATACTATTATGTTTATCTCTGTGTCAACTTGGTAGTAGTCTTATTCATATAATAACAAATGTTTGAAAACTATTGAAAATCGAGAGAAAAATGCTTATCAAGGAAAAAAATGAGATGAAAATAAAATTTCTACATTTAAGTGAAATTTACAATTTTTTTTAAAAAATTTATTCTGAAGGATTTTCTTTTGGTTTCTTTTGTTGCTTGGTTTTAACTATTATTGGATGGTTAGTTTTTTTTTTGGGAAAATAAAGCAACTGACATTATTGGATTAAAAGATTACAAGGTTTGGGCCGCAGCCCATTGCCAATTAATTACAAAACAGGCCCTCTTGGGCAGCAAGGGCACAGGCCCAATCAGAAATAACCTTAACTTCATTAATGGTTAGTTTGTTCTCTTTGAATGGAAGTGTCCGTCAGTTTAATTGAGTCTCTAAAGTTTTTGAGGTTTCTCAAATCATTTTATATAGGTCAAGCATGCATGTAAGTTGTCCAACTGAGTGGCGGCACATTGATGTATAAATCAATTTTTTTTTTTTTTTTAAATTTATTTTCTTCACTTTATTTTATTCTTTTTCTAAAATCCCTCATTTGACTCATGGTTTCTTCAAAAATTTCTTATGAATTAATCATCAGTAATCTTCACAAGGTATACTTTCCTTGAAAATCAACTTTCCTGAACGTTTTATTTTATAATCTTTTTATTTTTTTTTTAATTTTAGGGGAGAGGAAGATCCTACAACTTGGGCTGGAGCAATTTGAAATAGTTGGAGAACCACTGAAGGCATTGCTGATAATTGGAAAAGGTTAGTAAGCATGAAAGGTTTTACTTAATTCATTTCGCAAATTTAAATATGATAAAAATTTGATTTATTTATACCAATACTGGAGTAAGTGATGAAGATTAGTTTCTTATATGATGTATTCATATGTCAATTATGGGCAAAGATTCTGGCTTCTGTTGCTATGTGTAGGTTCAATTCTTCAATCAGTACCTGCCACTGAGAAATACTCAAAGAAATAATAGCCTTCAAAGCAACAATAGAAAACGAATTGGCCTATTCCTGTTAATAAAAAAAGGGCAAGAATGGTGGTAAAAAGTGTGGGCATAACTATAAGCTTGTATAAGAAAATTTGAAAAGATGGACGTTTTGAAATTATGTGCCTCCAAATTATACTTCACTAATTACAAACTCATTTCATCACTATTGATTCTCATCGAAATATACCAAAACTAAATACTAAACCTGTTCATTCCCAAAGCTGAAAATTTTGTAACTATTGAGTTATCGATGCAGATATTGTTTTGAGTAATAGATATGATGCTACTTAAATAATCGAAGTTGGATGAGTTGAGAGTAGACGAGTGCACTGGTGCGAAAGAGCTGCGAGTGCCACATTGAAGATATTCGTAGGGGAAGGGGAAGGGGACGAGTAAAATTAACATGGGTTGGTATAGAAAGAAAAGGTATGAAACACGTGATTTAATTGGAGTAATGCTATCAAATTGAGTAGAATGTTGAAATAAGATTCATGTAAACTAACCCCAAAAGTAGTCTCTATATTTCGGTAAAAATAATTCCCATAGAAGTTGGGACAGAACTTTATTGAGTTAAGTCATGTCAAATACAATAGATATTATGTGTAAAACTATGTAATACATAAGGTGGTGTGATTGAAAAATGGGTAGCAGTGAGATGGATAAACCTGCAGAAGAGGCAAAGGAGTCATAGACACCTACTCCACTAGTATACTTATGTTTTTTTGAATTTCTTTCAGTTAATGGCATGCATGCTTTTTCTTTTTCTTTTTTTGGTTTGTGTGTGTGTGTGTGTGTGTAAATTTTCATATGCGTTTTTCTCTTCCTTGGTACGTTGTTCAGGAGCTGTCTTCGTCTACAAGCACGGGCATAATTAAATCCAGATTGGCAGTTGTTTTTAGGTTTGACAGTCAAAATCTTTCATTTTGGTTTGATTCAATCCCCAAAATTGTGTTTTGATTGTTATATACTGACATGGATTATGTTTGCACTAGGCCTATTCTCCACTACCTCCACATGCGTTCTTAGCATCTAGTCCTCAAGTTCACCCCTACATGTGGGGAGTTTAGGTGCAATCACTTCTGTTACGAAATTAGAGAGAAAAAGGGATGGCCATCATTTAGCCTTGGTAAATACATGCTACATCTGCTAATTGATCTTTGGATCTCACATAAGTAGTAACCATCATTTTACTCATCACCACGTCTCTCACAAAGTGACAATCTACCTCCATATGTTTAGTCCTCTCATGAAATACTGGATTACTAGCAATATACATAGCAGACTGACTATCACAGATCATTCTCATAGGCTTGTCATTGGAGAATCCCATCTCTTGTAAAAGAGATTTTATCAACATCTTTTCGCAAGCAGTATGGGCCATTGCCCTGTACTCTGCCTCTGCACTTGATATAGCCACAACATTTTGCTTCTTACTTTTCCATGATACCAAATTACCTCCCACAAATGTACAATATCCAGATATAGACCTCCTATCCATTTGGCTTCCTACCCAATTAACATTAGTGAACCCAACGATATCCATGTTTTTAGAGGACTTAAAGACAAGTCCTTTACCAGGAGCTCTTTTCAAGTATCTTAAAACATCATATACCGCATCCAAATGGGGTTGTCTGGGTTGGTGCATAAATTGACTTACCACCCCTATAGCAAAGGTTATGTCTGGTCTTATCACAGTCAAATATATCAATTTTCCAACAAGTCTTCGATATCTCCCTGGATCCTCTAGAAGTTTTCCCTCATCTAAACTGAATTTTATATTCGAATACATGGGAGTATCATTTGGTTTTGCTCCTAACAATCCTATCTCACTTAAAAAATCACATATATACTTCCTTTGTGATATGTAAATTCCTTTACGAGATGTTGTTACTTCTATTCCTAAAAAACACCTCAACCTGCCCAAGTCTTTCATAGGAAATTGCTTGCTCAAAAAGTTCTTCAAGTCATCAATACCACTTTTGTCATTCCCAGTCACAACAATATCGTTTACATAAACTGCTAGGATGATGGTACCACTTTTGCAATGTCTCACAAAAAACAAATTGATCTGATGTAGTTCTGCTTAATCCATATTGACTCACCCACATCACTAAATTTGTCAAACCTTGCCCTTGGAGACTGTTTTAACCCGTATATAGCTTCCTTTAACCGACACACCAGATGTGACTCCCCCTGAGCAACAAACCCAGGTGGTAGCTCCATGTAAACTTCTTCTTGAAGATCTCCATGTAAAAAGGCATTTTTAATATTAAGCTGGCAGAGAGGCCAATTTTGAATAGCCGCAACTGATAAAAGAATACGAATAAAAGTAAGGCGAGCAACGGGAGAAAAAGTTTCAAAATAATCGACTCCAAATGTCTGAGTATATCCTTTGGCTACCAAATGAGCCTTCAGCCTTTTAATTGTACCATCAGGATGATATTTGACAGCATACACCCATCTGCAACCAACTGTAGAGGAGTTAAGTCCCATGTGTGATTCTGCTGAAGAGCAACCATTTCTTCAACAATAGCATGTTCTAACCTGGAGAGGACACTGCTTGAGAATATGATTGAGGAATCGAAACAGAAGACAAAGTACAAGCAAATGACTGGAAGCAAGGAGATAAAAAAAAAAAAAAAACAGCAAAAGAACCACCATGTTCAATAGGATGATGAGTGCAACAAAGAATACCTTTGCGTAAGGCAATAAGAAGATCATCATGGGAAGGAACCTTAACTCATATAGACAATTGGTGTGTGGGAATCAGTGTTACTTCTCTCGGTCGGCGACTATATACTTGAAATGGTTTATATATGCCTGACCCAAGCGATGTGCTGGTGGAGTGACCTGTGGTGACCTTGTGGGCGGGTGCAAGAGGCATTGGCAGGCTACCACACTGAGTGAGTTATAGGTGCACAATCCCATATTTGGAAAAGGGAAGTGCTATATATGTATGTGTGTCACTTCAATTGGTATGAGACCTTTTGGAATAAATCTCAAGAACAAAACCGTGCGGGTTCGGGTCTAAAGCGGACAATATCATACCATGTGATGGAGTGGGTTGTTAAAAATGGTATCAGAGCTTAGCCCAGCTGAAAGTGTGGCCAACAAGAACGTTAGGCCCGACGCCCCGGGCCGAGGGCGCTAGGGGGGGGGGGGGTGGGTGATTGTGGCGACCTTGTGGGCAGGTGCAAGGTGCAAGAGACACTGTTAGACTATCACACTGGGTGAGCTACATGCACGATCCCACATCGCCTAGGTGTGGAAAGGGGAAGTACTATATATGTAGATGTGTCACTCCAATTGGTATGAGGCCTTTTGAGGTAAAGCCGAAGAACAAAACCGTGCGGGTTGCGCCCCATAGTTGTTAAAGGCGCGCCTAGGCTCCAAGAAATCCCCAGACTCGTTAAGGCTCAGCTAGAGTGGGTTGGGGGGGGGGGGGGGGGGGGAAGGTGTGATTGTGGCGACCTTGTGGGCAGGTACAAGGTGCAAGAGACACTGTCAGACTACCACACTGGGTGAGCTACATGCACAATCCCACATCGCTTAGGTGTGGAAGGGGAAGCGCTATATATGTAGATGTGTCACTCCAATTGGTATGAGGTCTTTTGGGGTAAAGCCGAAGAACAAAACCGTGCGGGTGTGACCCCATAGTTATTAAAGGCGCGCTTAGGCTCCAAGAAATCCCCAGACTTGTCAAGGCTCAGCTAGAGCGCCTCAACCTACTATTAGCTAGGCCCCTTCAATCGGGCTCACACTTTTTAGTAGGCTCCAGGCGCAAAAGAGGTGCGCCTTGTATTTTTTAATCATTTAGTCATATCATTTTATTTTTTACTTAAATGACTACTAATTAAAATGTTCTATATCATATATCGTATTGTTTAACCTTATGAAATATTTGAATAAATTAATAAATTTATGGTTCACTACTTAAATTAACTGCAATTATTGCTTGATTATGAAAATATATAATAAATATATGTTGAAATATGAATTATTATATATACGCTCCTTGCTTCAATTAGGCTCGTGCCTTATACTGCGCCTTGCACTTAGGCTCCAGAAGGCCTTTGGGGCCTTAGTGCACCTTGAGCCTTTAAAAACTATGCTCGGCCCAAAAGTGGACAATATCATACCATATGGTGGAGTGGGTCGTTACATGACCATCAGAAATAGTAGGTAAAGGAAGCAAAAACTCAGTATCTAGAGATTGACCAAGTGAAGAAAAGAAAGGAGTGGCTTCAAAGGTCACATCCATACACACAAAGTAATGACGTGTGCTAGAATCCCAACACTTACATCCTTTTTGAGTTCGAGAGTAACCAACAAATGCACACTTGACTGCATGAGAAGATAATTTATCATTTCCAGGACTTGACACATGAGCAAAGCAAACATAACCAAAAACTTGAGGAGGCAATAAAGAATAGAATAAGGAGACTTCCCTTTTAGTACTGAAGATGGCATATGATTTATTAAATAGCAAGCAGTTAAGACCGCATCCCAAATTTCCTTGGCTGTATTATTAACAAGCATAAAATTAGCTGCAATTGAAGGCTCCATACTATTCCACAACCACGACATAACCATGTAATTTCCAGTTTCCCAATCATCATAACCTTATAATTTCCAGTTTCCCAACCATCATAATCTTTTTCAGTGTTGGTTGGAGGATCATCCGTGATATATTTTAATTTCCTTATAGTGCCTAAGGATATCTTCACCGCCTGACCCATAACAAGTAGTTGGTATTTCTCAGTTTAACCGTAGTAATTTGCATTCCAACATGATCAGTAACAATAGTAGAGTTTATTTTAATATCATGAGGCTCTGCCATGAGTCTAGAAACAGATGTAACAACTCGCTGGGAAGAAAATAGGAGGGGCTGAGAATGAAAAAGAGCAACTGAGGTACAATATCCTAAATTGATTGTGAGGCTGAACTGCACACAACAAAGAAAAACGGCCTGAAAAAGAGTTAAACTCCAGAAAATTTGGCCTGAATTGATCGCAGAACCCACTTGCTTAAGTCGGGACAGAAAATAAGGGTAAGATCTGATCCGGTTTTGAAAAACTTGACTGAATAGGGTTAACCCATACTCTTCACAATAGGGTTAGGTCACAATCCAACCAGTACAGTCGTTGTTTTCCCAAAATCGTAGCCGTAACACACTCTGCAACTCCATGACAATCTGAAACAACTAACACAGTTGGCGACTCAACAGCAATCAACGACGACGAACACTCTCAGCAACTAGACAAAGACTAGCAACGCCCAACACACAGTAAAGATGACAACTCCAACCCTAGGCGTGACGATTGCAAACTAGGGATTAGACCACTGGCTCTGATACCACATTACGAAGTAAGAGAGAAAAAGGGACGACAGTAATTTGGGGGTGTTCTCACGTTACTGAGAACCCTAAATCTTTTGGTATATATATATACACACACACACACAAGTATTGGCTATTTACATTATGACCCCAACTCTTATAACTAATTAACTATTACCCAACAACTTCCTCAGTTCAAGATGATGTACAATTTGATGATTTTAAAATGATTAATATTCATAATTTATGAACTACTTTTTTTTTTTAATGGTTCTTATCAATAGCTTCACTATAGGTTGGCTTCGAATCCATTAAGCCATGTTCACCCGTATTTCCTCCACAACTTTTCGGGTAGACAGTTGAATTATTCCATACAATTACCAACTAATCATCAATCCATGCATCTATTTGATGGATTTCATGTCGTGGTTGGTTCAAGTATTCCTCAAGAACAATGGCGTTGCCCATGCAACTTCAATTAGTGGGCATGACCAACCATTCCCCAACTTAATTGCTAATTTTTTAGCAGTTCTCCAATGAAACCTAATTTTTAATTTGACACAATATATTTGAACTTAGGTATCTTTATTGAAATTTGAAACAAAGTGCTGCCACTTAGACTAAGGTCATTGGTGGCAAAGATACACAAACATACAAAAATGAAGTGGGACAAGGACCTTCTGAATTCTTTGTAATGGTCATTATTTGTAATACACGTTTTTGTCCGTTTGTTCTGCACCTACATGTTGAAATGCTATTACAATTGATCGCTGATTCTCCTATTGGGTTTGGTAGGCCCTCACACAGCTGTTACCAATGCAAAGGCTACTATATCATGTTTGGAAGCTTTAAATTTTGGTGTGCTTAATCTTTAAAGATTTGTTGTGTTTACTCGAACGAGGTCACAGAACATCCATCCCCATTCATTACGCTCCACAAGGAAGCATGTTTTGGGAAACACAGCCTAAGGTATTCTCTACAGATAGATATGATATAACACAATGCAAATAGTGAAAATTAAATAACTATGTATGAAACAATACAAGTTTCCTGACCTCACATAGTGAGTCCAATTGAAGAAACATAAACCAATCCATGAACATTATGGAAGTAACCTCTTAAAGCCTTTTTTTTGAAGCTAAGAAGATTTGAATGACTCTAAAGGTGGAAAAAATAAAAAATTAGAATTTAAAACGAACCCTTATACTAATGGCTACCATATCAAGTTTCCACACCGAGAAACAACTATTTTGCATTCCATGCTTATAATTCCTTCTGCTTCAAAACAGATAAGCCTCGAGAAATTTTCAAAAGGAGAGCACGTTTGGTCTAAAGTTTGTTTAACTTATATGAGGATAAAATTTGCTTAACTAATATAAGGATTTCTAGAATAGAAGTTTTACTTTCTTATGGTTATCCTTGATGCTTTTCAATGTTAAGTAGGATTATTTAGATGAGAATGTGCAATTGCGACTCTACTTTTTTCAGTTAGTTGTAAATTGTCTTGCTTTTGGAATGTTAGGAAGTAAGATATGAATTTAAAGCTCCATTAAAACATAGCAATCAATTATTGATTCAAATGTTATGTTGTCGTCTCTTCTATTGATTCATATTTGTATTATTATATTTTAGTTAAAAAGTAGACTCAGTGAAGAAGAGAAACTGATGGTTTGATTCATTTGATCAGAGGACTCTCCCATGGCAACGTATGCAACCGTCTCTCTGCCCAAACACACCCACACACAACACATTTATATCTCTCCTACAACAATGCTAAATAAATGGTTTTCAATTGACTTTTTGACCCGTATACAAAAGTTGGCACCATTTCAGAACTTGTTGAACTTCTAATTTTCTGGTGTCTTAGGTTGACTTGCCTCCTGATTATAACTAAAGGAAGAAAGGATCCATACGAGTTCTCTAATTAGGTGTTAGAATTTAGAAAACCCATTCAAGGGGTACTAAGTACCTCTGTCTAAAAATTGACCCAATTAATTAATATAAATAAAGATAAAGTTTCCTTTGGTGGCGAGACATTTGTTTTTCTGTGGTTCACAATTGTAAATTTCTTTTACAGGAGTGCCAAGGTTGTTGATTGTCGCAACATTCAGCTTCAGGACCTATGATGACAAATTTAGGTTGTCCAAGTGCTATAGTGTCAGGTATTCTTAATCTTCTTTTGATTGATCACCCAATTAATATCGGGTGGATTATTAGGTTGACAACTGTGTGCATTTCAATATTGTAATCTAATTTGTTGATTGTTATAGTTTTTCAACTTTCAGACAAATGACGATAATTTAGGTTATTCAGTGTTGTTGTGTTAGGTGTTCTGAATCCTCTTGGTGACTGTTTCACCTAAGTATGATTGCATGCTTATTCTTACTCTTGTGTAATTACTCTTTCATATATATATATATATATATATATATATATATATATTGTTTCTTTGTAGAGTGTTGTGGTTATTTTATTATTGATTATAATACATTGGACAATGGGGCTGGTCTGTGCTTATGATTATAAAGAGGAATGTTGTTTGGTGAGGTAGCAATTTGGGCTGTTGTGCTAGTGGTGGAGTGATTCAGTGTTCTGAAAGGGGGTTTAAGATGCTTGGCAATGGGGTTGCCGTTGATGGAGCTTTCTGTTGGTTTGGAGCTTTGCGTTTGTTGGGAGGTTTCATTGTATCTAAAAGCTTTTGAACTTTCATATATATATATATATATATATATATATAGAGAGAGAGAGAGAGAGAGAGAGAGTACTACGTATGTAATAATGGAGGAAACATATGGGGTCCATAGGTAAAAGGTGAAAACAAAGAATAAAGGTAAGACAAATAAAAGCTTTCATGATTGACCACAAATAGTATTATATAAGACAAAGTAAAAGATTGTGGTGTGTGCCATAGATTGGATGCAGTAGGAATAGGAAGACATCTCAAGCTATGTTCTCAGTGTGATATATATATAAAATGAATACAAATTGAACTGTGCGTTCTTTCAAAGAGAGTTTATTTTTTTTTAGAATACAAAATTGAACTAGCTTATATTTATGTTGAATTTATTTTTTATTGTGCACGTAATTGATAGAAATTGATTTATAAAAATCAAGAAATACACCAAATTTTAGATATATATATATATACACACACACACACACCATCACTTAGTTGGTATGATTCCTTCAAAGATTGAGAATTAGAGCCCTGCTCTTTATTTTCACTATTCAAAATAACTTAGTCCTCATGACACAAACGCAACGACAATTCCCTATCATCGCATGCAATATTCAAACACGAACCTACCCAAAAATATCAGGTGAGGGTGAGATCACTATAGGACTCCTCACAGTATGCTTACCACCATCTTCTACCCAAATTACAGAACCATATGTGTGGCTTGCACCCTCCAATCCCCTATAATGTATAGTCAAAGAGTAGCTCTTCTTCTCATTCACCTTCTTAAAAACCAGTGTCTTGGGCGAGACTGTGATCACAGAACCCTTTGGTGCATCAACCTTAGCTCTATAAGTGGCCGTGGCTTTGCCCACATTCGTGACAGTCCTCTGAAATTTCTGAACCAAATTATCCTTTTCGTCAGTGTACAAAACGATAAAGGAAGGGTAATTGAGGTCAGAAGACAGATTTGAGCAATTGTAGCCCTTTGATCTTGTGATGGTCAAGAATTGATTCTCAGTGAAGTTCAGTGAGCATATGAAATTCACATAGTCCTGTGGAGTAGTATCATAGATAAAACCTGGATCAAGTGCTCGGTTAGGATCAACATGACCTGCCCCCATGGATAGGGGTGTAGCATCGGAATTATTAAAGCCATTGCGTTGAATAGGATTGCCAGTGTTATCAAATGTGTTGGCTGTGGTCATCATGGCAGACTTAATAGCAGCTGGACTCCATTCCGGATGTGCCCCTTTAAGGAGCGCGGCGATGCCAGAAGCATGAGGACACGACATGGATGTACCGGAGATCATATTGTAATCACTGTACAATGCAATATTTGAGCCAATAGCACTTGCTGGAGCAGTTGGAATCCATGCTGCTAAAACTAATATCCCCGGTGCCATTAGGTCCGGCTTCAAAATGGTGGGACAGCTCAAGGCAGGACCTCTTGCAGAGAATGAGGCAACAACAGGGGCACGCTTTGTACCAAATTTGGTCTGTTGGAACTTGATGCTTGCTGTTGCTGTATTTGCACTTTCAGCATATCTGATCACGGTTGTGGCTTCTTTAGTGCTAATCACAACTCCAGGACAGGGGAATTCGTTGGATTCAAATACTTCAACATTATCAGAGAAAGCTTCTGCAGGATCATCTCTGATAAATATAGCTGCAGCCACATTTGACCGTGAGACATGCCAGCTTCTGCAGGATCATCTCTGATAAATATAGCTGCAGCCACATTTGACCGTGAGACATGCCGAGCTTGATCAATAACTGGATAAATATATGGATAATAAGATGCCTCAGCAATATCACAAATGAGGATGACATCAGTAGGGGCTTCAGATAACAATTCAGTTGAATTGCATGGAGACAGAGTCTTGTTGTAAATGAGAGGGCGGTCTAACACCAAGGCACTTGCAGGGAACAGAGTCCATCCGGTGATTGTTACCCCATTTCCGAGAGTTAAAGTGCCGGCAAACCACCTGTCCATGGAACCTGCCGCGACGGTCAAGATCCATGGGCTCACATTGCGCACTTGTCCAATTGAATCGCCTCTATTGCCTTCTGAAGCTGAAACAAGCACGCCTTTCTCCATGGCTCCAAAGGAAGCTATGGCAAAAGCATCCTCATACAGAGGTATCCCACGTCCGAGACTCAATGAAACCGATATCACGTCAACACCATCAGCTACGGCCTGGTCCATTGCGGCAAGGTAATCAGAAGCATAACTTCCTTCGTCCCAAGTGACCTTATAGATGGCCAGCCGAGCACCGGGCGCAACCCCTTTTGCTGTCCCTTGTGCATTGCCAAATTACGAAGCGCCTTCCACAATGCTTCCAGCGGCTGTGGAGGCCGTGTGCGTGCCGTGGCCATCGGTGTCCCTTGCAGAATTCATGCGGATTGTGATGTTGGGATCTGCAGCTAAAACCCCCTTGTTGAAGGATCTAGCTCCAATAAGCTTCAAGTTGCACAACGAGGAATTGAACTCTTGTCCTTCCTCGCACTTACCCTTCCACCGAGAGGGGATTGGGGACATTCCTTTGTCGTTGAAGCTCTTGCTCTCCGGCCAGACACCGCTGTCGATGACACCAATGATGACGTCTTTGCCATAGTCTGATGCAGGCCATAGGCCGGTGACAGGATTGAGAGAGAGGAATTCAGTGCTGTGGGTTGTGTCAAGTGTGATTTCTCTATCACTATAAGCTGAGACAAAACCTGGGGAATTCCTTAGAGTCTCTAGTTCATCTTGAGACAACAGTGCACTAAATCCATGTAATGCGTTATCATAACTGTAGACGAGCTCTGGTTTGGATTGATGACCGTTTGATGTTGTGTGGCTGGCTAATTTTATGGAATCAACAGTGGAGGAGTATCAGTGGTGGTGGCTAGGAAAGATTTTGGGCATGTCAGACTTGTCCATGTGGACAATATAGGTGGACCTTCCAACATATGCTGATCTAGCCTGGAAGGCCAGAAGACACCATGCAAGAAAGATCAGATGAAGAAGAGGAACCCCATTAATGAGCTTCATTTTTTCCTCCAAAGCTTGAAAATTTTGGTTAGACACTAATGATATCTGTGACTTGGTTTCTATTTTGTATCTGTATATGTAAAAGCATAAACTATACATGACTGTTGAATTTGAGGTGAGGGGCGGCTCCAGGAAGGTGGCTCATAATGTGTTAATAATATTTATTTAAATAGAACTCTTTGACAATAAAGAAGTTCACACATTTGATAATTGAATGAATTAATATTATATTATTTTTTTTTTTAGAAAGTCTAATAATATAAGAATGTAATAATTTTAGGGTCCTTGATAATATAATGAAGTAAAAATTTTAGTATGTTATATAAGAAAATAATAATTTTAGGGGCCTTAATAATATACACAAGTAAAAATTTTATTAATAATTTTTGGGGCCTAATGTTACAAGAAAGTAAAAATTTAGACTCCAGCCGCCCCGGATTGAGATGAAAATGTATTGAAATTAATTTTCAGGACGCGTAGAGACATTGAATGCATTGACGTGTGTAAAGTGGGCTAGCTGTCAACGAAAAAACTGGTCCATACATTGTTTTAACTCTTTGGTTTTAAGTCAAAGTTGAATGGCTATGAACAGATTGGACATTTATATATTTAGCTGTGAAAGAGGATTGTACAAGAATTATTCAACTAAAATTTTTATTAAAATTTATTTATAGTATATCATGTGAATAAGTTAAACTTTATATATATATATATACACACACACACACATATATATAAATTTCATTTGACCATATTATACTACTAACTTTTACTTGTCTCGACCTATCTCCTCCCCTATTAGTTGTTTGTTTTTAGTATGGGTTAATTGCACTGACATTTCTTATAGTTTGCTATTGTTAACACCCAAATTTGACCCACATTTATATACATATTATTTTTTGCATTTTTTGGCCAATAGTGAAAGGGTGACCTTTTAGTTCTATTTTGGTGAAACTCTTTATCACCTTGAAACACCCATATGTTACATAACTATCAAATGATGATATTACAATAATTGGGTAAAGTTGAAAAGTGAGCTTTTAGTTTTACCAATGTTAGTGTACAATGTTAGAAAAGTTCAAAATCTTGGGCAATACTCTTTCATAGTCTCCTCATCTAAGGGTGAAGAATGAACAAGGTGATGATGTGGCACACATCAAACAATGGTAACATGGTTGATGCTTTGGAGAGAGATTCACTATAAATACCAAAATCAGCATTATGCTTCTCTTTCTTATCTCCTTAGGCCACTAGCCCTTTTTATCTGTTTTGTAACTCATCTTTTGTCTCGTGCTTAGTATTAGTTTAATTATCAGTTCTTTCTCTTTTATCATCCATGTTCTAGTTTCTTTATTAGATCCTTATAATTTGTATGTTCATTTCCTATTAATGCAATGCCGCTATATATATATTCCAGCAACTAAATGTAACCATTATTTTCACCATTATTTTCTCCTTCATTTTACTCTCCGCATCTTCATCAATCATTTGAGAAAAATTTAAGTCCTTGGCAATGCTAATCTAGTAGAAGGTGTTTTCCCCGCCTCCTCATAGTTGCCTAACCAAATTTGGGGACCAATCCAATATGGGGAGTATGGTTCGGCTCATACCCTGAGTTTGGGTTAAGGACTTTAGCACGCCCGCACTTCTTAAGAGCCGAAAATTGTGCAAACAACTATAATTATTGGGACCTCCCCTATAGTTTGGAAAATTTTTCGAACTTTCCCTAAAAATGAAACTAACCTATACGGACCTCCCCTCCTAGTCAAAGATAGTCAAATGCACTAAAAGACCTGTCTAATTTATTGAAATACCCTTAAATTGCTACGATAAATTAGTAAACTACCCATATAGTATTGATTTGGACTTTAACTATACACACTCCTTTTAAAAAAAGGAAAATGATAATTTTGATGGCTTCCTCGTATTGATAAAAAAAACAGACATATAAAATGCAATATATATTTTACACAAAATTACCTTTTCTTCTTTGTTTCCTTTACCATTTTCCCTCCTTACGTATCTTTTCTCTGTGTGCATCAATTTACTTATACGTACATCTTTTTCCTTGAAATTCATTCCTTTTACAAAATGCATTCTCCATTAAAAGACTTTGTTACCTGGAAGTGAAAATTTTGTCTTCCTATGTTATTTTCAATTGGTTTTCAACTCTAAAAAAAAATAGAAATGAGAACATTCTAACCTGGGTTTGCATAATTTTTTTTCGTTTCCTTAGTTCTCTTTTTCATCATCTAACAGAGATTGTAATTAATTTTTTTTCAATTGAGATTTCAAGAACCTAGGGTTCATGGGTTAACCAGGTTTCCGCAACCCCTTTGGGCAA